AACGATAGTAGTGTCCTACCCTGGATAGCAGCCCTGGGCCAGGCTGAGGACAGTGGGGAGCCTGGCGTGTCGTGCAGGTGGCTATGGGATGGGGCAGCCTCAGGCCGCGGGCAGAGGAGGGTGGCAGCGCTGGGGTCTAGCACTGGTTCCTGTCACCATCCGCAGTGTTCCTAGGATGAGCAGGGAGGCTCCCCCGGGCCTGGAAGGCAGAGTCCGGAAAACACTGCGGAAGGTCTTCGGGTTCGAGTCCTTCAAGACTTCCCTGCAGGAAAGTGCGACCATGACTGTGGCAAGAGGTGAGGCTCGGCACTGGGAAGATGTGGGACACGTCTGGTTGTCCTTCTCCCTGTGGGGGTGATGCTGCAGGAGTTGTTGTGCCTGTTGTGAGGAGACACGTTACCTGCACTAAAGACCAGCCCTCCAAGCCTTCCTCTGCTCCAGGATGGTTTTGGTGGCACAGGAGCATGAGCATGTGCTGCACAGAAGCTCTCTGGGCATGACTCTGCCTCTTCTCCTTTCATTTGTAACACCACCACTGCAACAACCAGGAAATAGGGACAGTTAAAGTGCAGTGCTGTTGTGTCTCCTCTGGAGGCATCTGCTAGTGTGTTTGTGGTCAGATGAGGTCAAAACTGATTTATACCGTTTCAGAGTAAAACTGTCCTTGTGTTAGAGACAACACCAGTAGGAGACTTGATTTCTTGGCATAGTTGATAGCTGTTCTCTGAATTATAGGGCCATTATCAGAAGCATGGTTGTTCTGCTGTAAACATACCCCAACACCTGCTGGCAGTGGATCACGTACCTCACACCCAAACTGCAGTTCCCCTAGCAGCTCTCACAGTGCCAGTCAGAACAGTGTCCAACTCAGCAACTCAGGACCTGAGTTTTCACCTCTCACCAGTTGTGGTTGACAACAGAGCAGCCAAATGCAGGTTCTTCCTGTAGGCTGTCTCTGCCTGTTATCATGGCATCACTGGCACCTCCCTGGCTTCAGGTGGATGCTGGTTATCAGTGACAGTCACTGACTGTGTGATATCCATGTGACTGAGATTTCCAACCCCTATTTCCTATGAGGGACCTTTCTGGGGTAAACTTTAAGTGGATGTGGTAAAGATTTGTCCTGGGGCTGGTAATCTGGGAGCTGGAGGTCTGCAAAATGAGTGAAACCATTAGCATGAATAACTTGTTTAACTTCTCTTTATCTTGGTTTCTGTGTATCCTCTGGTACTTCTGTGTCTCTTGTTTCCAAATGTGTACAAAGCAATTAGAGATTCTTTGAAGGAAACCATTGCAGGCATGCAAAGTATTGCTGTGCTTTTAGAACCTAAAATGCAGTGTCCTTTGTGATATGCCCCACAGTACCCCCACACACATGTTTTTCGCACACATGACAAGCCTTTCTGCCCACCCCTCCAGCCTGAGCCCTGGGAACTCACCACCACTCAGTGGCCTTGAGCTTTCTTCTGTTGTCTTTGCAGGTGAGAAGGATGTCTTTGTATGCATGCCCACAGGGGCAGGGAAATCCTTGTGCTACCAGCTTCCTGCAGTTCTGGCAGTGGGCATCACCATTGTCATTTCACCTCTGATTGCACTGATTCAGGTAACTGTCTCCTGTTAGCTGTGGAAAAGCAGTCAGGGAAGGGGGTCGGGAGACTCTGGAAGCACAGCTGCCTCCTGTCTTTCTGCCTATCAGTGTGCTGTTGGCCTGACTCAGGATTCTCTGGATGTCTTGTGTTTTCCTTACCCTGGTGATAGGTGAGGAGACTTAGCTGCAGAGCAGAGTATCTTTGCTGTGATATTTTGCAGTTCTCTAAAAGGATGTTTTATTCTTGTACAATAACCTGGTGATTTTTATAACTGAGCCTTCCTCCATTTCCTCCAGTTGTCTGTCACCTCCAGTGCTGGACAGAAGCAGCAAAGCTGAGTATGTCAGATGGACCAAGAGGGATCTTTCCCCAGGAAAAATCCGCCAATTTAACTATAAAGTAATAACCCCAGGAATGATGAAGTTGCCTTTGAAGGCATAATTTGTTTGCATCAAAATGTCTTTTTGTTGCAGTCAGTTTTTCTGTCACGGGAAGAGGCTACTTTAGCAGAGCTGCTCCATGAGCACTTTCATCTGTGAGACATTTTCCCCCTATATTTTGTCTTTTCTACTGTTTCATCACCTGTTGGGAGAAACACTTCCCTGTAAAAGCAGCTGTAGCATTGCTTTGACTTCTGTAGAATGTCTGATTAGCATTGCATGACATCTGGTGTTTTAGGCTGCTGGTCTGGGGGTTGTTTTTGTGGATTTTAACTCCTTTAACAGTCTCACTGTAACACACATTAAGAACTAGAGCAGGCTTGGTAGTACATTGCAGAAAGCTGTTATAAATAGTAATTTTGTTCCAAGTGTGAGGATTTCTGATTAAGCTCCAGCACAGGTAATATTTTGTCAGTGAAATGGAGGTTAAAAATACCATTGGTAAGATTTGCAGGTGAAGCAGAATGTGAGTGACAAATGGGTTGAGATGGGCTCAGTGAGTCTTAGAGAACAGAGCTGGAGTGAACTTTCAGAGGTCTTCTCAAGCCCTGAGATAGGTTGGTTGTGCCTGAAATGATCATGATGAATTTTGGTGTAGCCAAACTTGAAGAACTCAGTCTGTGTAGTTCATTTTAGAGTAAGCTGAGAGGTGACTTTGTGAGCAGAAAACCATGGATATTAAATCAATGACTGAAACCAGATAGTGAGTGAAATAATGTGATAGGTTTTATGGGAGGACTGTTCATGTCCTGAAATGTTAGGTGCTAGTCAAGTGCAAGTGAACAACTTGTTGTGGGGATAGGAAGGTGAATTTGTATGCCCAGTGTTCATCTGGATGTGATGCCATGTTTTCTAGTTGGTTCATGACATGATTCTCATCCAGACTTGGTTCTGTTGCAGTGTTGATTTGCACGATCCTTGTATTTCGTCTTGTCTCAGATTAAAACATTCTTCAGCCATTTTGGAATGAAATGCACCCTGTTACTGCAGGGGGGTGGTGTTCACTTCCTATCTGTGACAACTTGGTGGTGTAAACACTGAGACGCGTTGGTGGTTCGGCTCAGCTCACGGGGGCTGTGATGAGTTATTTTGCACAGATCTCTCGTGGTGTTCTCTGGCAGCAAAATGACTGTTAAAGTGAATGGATGTACAAATGCAGTTGGATAAAAGAGCTGGACAGATATGCTCAGATGTGAAGATAAATGCAGAGTTGAAGTTATAAAGAACAGGACTGTAGGTGTATGTTGTCCTGAGACTCCATCCTGGAGGTGGAAGGTAGGGCCTCACCTGGATCTCCCTAGTAGTGGTGCTGGTGACTTTATTTCTTTTCATTTGCCTTTCATTTCATTTCAATTTTGTATTTACTCCAGGATCAAGTGGATCACCTGCTGGCTCTGAAGATCAAAGCCTGCTCTCTGAACTCCAAGCTTTCTGCCCAGGAGAAGAAGACCATCCTGGCTGACTTAGCAAGCGAGAAGCCCAAAGTAAAGCTCCTGTACATCACCCCAGAGATGGCAGCTTCCTCCTCCTTCCAGCCCACCCTGAACTCTCTGGTGTCCCGAAACCTCTTGTCCTACCTGATCATTGATGAGGCACACTGTGTGTCCCAATGGGGACACGACTTCCGACCCGACTACCTGCGGCTCGGCACCCTCCGCACGCGCATACCCAATACTCCCTGCGTTGCCTTGACTGCCACTGCCACCAAGGAGGTCCAGGAGGACATTGTGGCAGCACTCAAGCTAAAGCAGCCACTTTCCACCTTTAAGACTCCTTGTTTCAGATCTAACTTGTTCTATGATGTGCAGTTCAAAGAGCTCTTGGCTGATCCATATGCCAATTTGAAGGATTTCTGTCTGAAGGCACTTGAAGTGAAGGACACCGCTGGGGTAGGTTTTACCATTAGGGAAGAAAGCTAAACTGGACAAAATCTCTTTAATGGTTACTGACCTTCCAGGGGTTGGTACAGCCCTGCCAGGTTAGTGGCAGGGGAAGAGG